GTTATATTTGTAAATATGTATAATTTATTTAATATATTTGTTTTGTATTGATAATTATAGATAATTAAATTTGTTATTAAAAAATTATAATATTTTTTATTATATATTAAAATTGGAATTACAAATAAAAATGTTGGCATGAAAAGACAAATTAAAATTATAGAACATTATATTTGTGAAAAACACACAACAAAATCAACCAAAATTGAGATGTAGGCCGTGAAAAATCGTCCATTTAAACTTGTTGACTTAAACTTCCTTGACGATAAGGACATTTTTTCTTAGAATGAGCTACGTTCTTACATAGAGAACATATTTTTGGTTGTCCTAGTTCAATCATATCCATTTCAGTGTGTATTTGGGATGACTTTGGACAACCTTTTTTATTTATGATCTTTTTCGGATTTGGTATGATTTGCGGTTCCTCACACTCCGACTAGTAAGATTCGTTAGGCAGTTCACCAAATAATTTGTTATACACATTGGAAATATATTTTAATATGTATATCGGATCTATGTAAGATGTGCATGTAATGGTGGTGAACATGCTTACGTGCAGTAAGAACATGTGAGCATGACATGTGTAACTTTTGGAATTTGCCACAGTCATACCACTATTCATCTAGTCTATCTATGAAAGATCCAGTCGGTCATCCTTCCGTTGTGTTATTGGTCTCTTGCACTAGAAAACATGTATTATGACGATCTGGCTCGAGGACATGATGACTATTTTCCTTGGATTCTGCACCTCTCATAACCCTATTTATTATTTCTGTATAAACTTGGTCAGCTCTGAGTCTAGCATCAACTTCCTTCCCTCTCTAAATGAATAATGAATTACATCTCTTATAAGTCGACATGATAATTGCAGATATTGGCAAATTTCTTATTTTCCTAAGAATAGAATTTATTGCCTCTACCAAGTTGGTAGTCATGTGTTCCCATCGTCGGACACCGTCCCATGCAAGAGTCTATTGTTCTCTAGGAATAATGTTGAGCCAATCAATTACACCTTTAGTTTCTAGTTCGCTTCTCAATATATTAAAGTAGATTTGAACATAGGCTCAGTCATCCCATAAGCTGCAAATTTTGAAAAGTTTCTAGTTCGCTTCTCAATATATTAAAGTAGATTTGAACATAGGCTCAGTCATCCCATAAGCTGCAAATTTTGAAAAGCAATAAATCATCAATTTATTATTGTTGAAATATAGTAAAACAAATACGAATAAATGTTTAATTGATGATAAAAAAAGAAATAAAAAAGGAACTACATAACCATGTTGATGCTTAATTTTTTTTTTCTTTCTGCATTCTTGAAATGCCTCATGAAGTTTTGGGCAATGTGGCAAATTCAAAACACATGCATTGAGTTCTTTGGTGTTCTACCACTGCCTTGTCTTGAGTAGGAATTTTTTATGGACTCGTGCTTATAAGAAATTAAGTAAAGGCCATCTTGAAGGCAAACATGTCTTTTTAGATAATGTAGAAAGAATACCATGCATCTGCTATTTAACCCTCAACAATGGCAAAGACAATTGAAAATATTTTGTTGTTGCCATCTTGTGCCACGACCATGAGGAGAGTTCCTTTGTATTTTTCATACAAGAATGTGTCATCAACTTGAACAGCGGGCCTTCCAGTATTTAAAACCATCGATACAAGGTTTAAATGTCCAAAATACTCGATGGAATTGAACATAATCAAGAACCATTTCACCTTGTTGGTTGTATAGTGGCCTTGTCTGCTTCTTAACAACAAATCCATTAAGAAATATTTATTTGTGTGAGATTTGCATATAGTTTAGCAGAAGTAAGAACTTTATGGCTATGAATCAGTTGAATCATGCCATGAACGTCTTCATTGTTGATAAGTTTGACAGGTTGGTAATGAAGCATTCCTCCACCTACCACTTGTGGATATCGAAAGTAAAGTTGATCAACTGAATAATATTGTGGTAACTTGATTCTTCTTTGGATTTGGTTTTTCAACATATCAAGTGTGATACGTGGATTAACTGGCAAAAACATTGAGTCAAAAGATACAAAAGTGTCCCCTTCATTTGTTTGAGTGATCTCACCACTGTAAATAGTGCTAGTTGGGGAAATAAATTAGCACAGTTGTTATTTGGGTAAATGTTTTTTAAAAATATTATTTGAGTAAAAAACTCAATTAATACCAATAGTTATTTATGTGAAAAAATATTTAGAGGTTTTGTTTTTACGATTGGATTTTTAGCCAGTTTTTTAATTACAGTATATGAATTTTTTTAAATTTCTTATTTATTTTGATCCATATTTATAATATATATTTCTAACTTATGATAACTTTATTTTTAAATAAATTTTTATATTTAAATTTTATTGATAGAAGAGATGTGATATCTTAAGGAAAAAAAGAATTATAACATCTTCTCTTTTTCTAATAGGAAGAGTACAAATGTATTTTCTTTACTATTAGTATTTCTTTATTGTTGTGTGATAAAATTGATTATTTTAAATTATTTAACTAGAATCTTATTAATAATTTACTATATGATTTTAATATTTTTGTATAACTAATATATGATTTTAAACATGATCTGACAATATTATGATATAACTAGAAAAGATTTTAAATTAGTATTTTATTAATGGTTGATAATTAGAAAATAAAACAAGGATAAATACATTTTTTGAATTTTATATCTTAGATTTAAGATGAATAAATATATTAAGTTAATTAATAATTTATTTAAAATGTTAAAATTTAATTTATAAAAATAATTTTAAAAGAGAAGGGTTATAATAACATCGGTGTAATAACAAAAAAAAAACACAAAAAATAAAAATAAAAGTGGAAAAAAAAAACTTATTTGGATGTGTAAAAAGGATAAGGTGCAGAAAAGAAGAAGACAGAACTATAAACAAAATTTTGAAACACAAATTGTGTATTTGAATTAAAATTTTAAAGCATTTTTTATGTCGAGTATTATTTCATCCTTATAAAAGTTATTTTTATATATCAAGTGTCATTACACACATCATGGAAAGGTTAGAGTTAACTGTAAAATTAACCTTTCCCAACACATTTTATCATGATCTTAAAATATTGTCATATTTACAACTTTATCATCATATCACTTTTTATATTGTATAAATTATACTTGATATAAAACCTTCATCATAAAAACTTTTTTTACACTAGTAGTTATTTTAATATTTTACACCATTAGGTGTTTAGGGTGTGTTTTCAGCGGGATTTTAAGGTTTTAAGGTCCTTTCAAGGGTTAGTTTGAATTATTAATTTAGATCCCCTTCTATTGGATTTAGGACAACACATTGCTAGACCAAATTATTTGCCCAGCCCAAACCCTTATAACAACTATATACTATACATCTTATATTATAATTAATTATATATACCAAGGCTATTATTATTATTATTATTATTAATTTCAAACATAAAACCTTATGACATTAATTAACTAAACCTTGTATCAGCTTAATTAAATTAATTAATTAAAAATACAAACTAAATTAAATGAATACTATTCATTTAAATACTCCAGATTTATAAAATCGGGTAAATTCACGAGACCGTAAATTTTTCCGTATTTTAAACATACACTTCTTTTTAAGAAAATTTTATTATTCTAAATTTAATTAATTAAATTAGAATAATTTAATTATCATAAAAAAAATAAAAATAAAAAACACTTAAAACCCGATAAATTTCTTAAGGTGAAAATTTGGTCGTCGTTACAAAACACACTGTCTAATAACAAATGATGGTATAGGAATAGGAACGGGAATAAAAAAAAACTTCACATATTTAGCAATATCATTTTTTTTAACAATTTGAATTGTTCTAGTTTATTTACAACTTGTCTAAGCATAATGTGAGGTTGACAAACCTTTTGTACCCAAATACAACACATGCACGATGTATATCAGTCAAAACCTATGAAGCAAAACCTGAAACCATGCAACACCATATACTTTAGAACCGATTCACTGGCTAAAAAAGGAGTTTGCATCTTCTCTATTTTTTATTTATTTTTATTTTTATCCATTTTTATGATTTTGAATGTATGAATGACATTAAATAGTAATAAAAAAATGATTAACTATTACATCATTTATGCATTCAAAACTATAAAAATGGAGAGAATATGTCAATTCTAAAATAAGTGGTATATATTTTCCAAAAATAACTTAAACATCCACCTTTAAAAGCCCATCAAGATCCTCATTGTTCCTCAGACCTGCAAGCAAAGAAGATAAAGCAAAACACAATTGTTTCATCATCACACTCGCAGGTCTCCAAAACAAGTCACATTTTGTTCATCATGGACATGAAGAAGGTCACCTGTGTCGTCCTCATGGCTGCTGCCTCCGTGAGTGCTGCAGTGGCTGCCGTTGAGGTTCCTGCCCCAGCCCCTGGCCCAAGCAGTGGAGCCTCAGCTACCTTGCCCCTTGTTGGCTCCTTGGTTGGTGCCTCTGTCTTGTCTTTCTTTGCCTTGTTCCACTAAGCTTGCATGACATGGCATGCCAAGATTCATGCAAAAGAAAGAAAGAGTAATTGTAAGAATCGCATGCAATAGAATGAAAGAATGGATTATGTGATTTTGTAACCGAAAATATTCATATTGATATTACTTGATGAATGAGAATGTCCATGCTATTATTGTGTTAGCTCCTTCCTAATACGAGTACCTAATTCTGAAGCAAGATCTCTAATATATGTCTTGTCCAATCAACTAAAAAAGGCAGCTACATCCTCCATCTTGAGTAATAATCTAATTAATAAAACAGAAGTACTATTTTATAAGGAGAGAGCGCAAGAATTCACACAGAAAACACAATTGTTTTTCTTTTCTTTCTAATATATAGTCATCAATTAAAACTTAAAAATATAAGACTTACATCGATGGAAATCATGCCTTCGGGTGGAAATGAAGGAAACGATTTTCATAACAATTAAATTAACAACTAGTAAGTAACTTGTACCTATGCACAAATAGGACGCATTGTCAAGCCTGTATAATATTTTTTTTATTAATTAACATTTTTATATGCATGTTAAATTACTTATTTATTTTGTATTTTTATATTAAAATAAATAGATGAATGCTATTTATTTTCCTTTATTTTTAGCAAAAATTATAGAGATAATATTAGTACGCTTTTATTTTCTAATAAAAAAAATTGAGTATCGTTGTTTTACTTTTTAATTAAAAGTCTTTTTATTTCATATTCCATTACTGATATTTTAAAATTTATACATAATTGTATTTTCACTCAAATGAATTAATTGATTATTATTCTCTTTGAATAAATAAAGAATATTTATTAATATTGACTTTTAACTGTTTCTGACTAGTCAAAATTGACATAATTGAACTAGAATATTCCCTTTCAGAAATAATTTAAATATTGATAATTGTTAACAACTCAAAAATATATAGCGTTAATCTTAAGTATGCATTCAATAACATATTCAATGAAGTACCAAAAATCAAAGATAAAATATATTCATTAATTTGATCAATAATCTCAAGGATAGGAAAATACTTCTAGAGTACTATAAAAAAAATCCTTACTTTCTTGTTGTTGAATTACATTAGGATATATGCTTTGAATAATGACAACTATGTGATCATCAATGTTAATTTAGTAGTTTTTGTGAAATATCAATGAAAACATAACTATCATTTAGTTTTGATATTTTGTCATCTTCAATTTCTAGTATATATTGTAAAAATTGATTGAGTTATTATAAAACACTTACGTTATTTTGTATGTAAAGACATTTTTTTTGCGAGAGTTAATACGTGATAAAGATTTCAAATACCTGATGCATTAATAATTGTTATATGAACAATATCAAAACTACTCCTCTTGATATGTTGCGTAAAATTTGCCTGAAGTTCCACTCAAGACAATGACTTTTCCTCCAATGATTCAAGTATTGTCATGTATTTTCATAATGTCTCTTAGGATTTTATCAAGTGATTCAAAACAAAACTTACGTGCCATTGAAGATTCATCACATATAATCAACTTTGTTAATTTCATTAATTAAGTTCACTTGGTGAATGTTATAGAATTATCTAATGTGAGATCAAAAATCTTGAATTTTGAGCATGTAGTTCTACTTCCAAGTAACAAGGTAATGTCAGTTGATATAACTATTAGTACAATTTGTCGCTGAGACTATATATAACACGGAATCTAATGTTTTTCACATTAATGTTTCTCAATTATGCCCCCGCAACCATATAAGAAAAACATGTTACCTTGTTGATTTATAATTGCAAGCATTATTTGGTGAAATATGATTTCTTGTTCATCTACGATAGTTATCTAAACAATATATAATAATAAATTATACTGAAGGCATCCATTTTCCAATACTTACCAGCAAGAAGAATTTAGTTGTGAATGGAGTTGTCTTTAGAATAAACTTTATAAAATAAACCAATCACTTCACTCGTAATAATTTGACTCATTATTATTATTGCTATATATATATATATATATATATATATATGCATTGCCAAATTAATTTATAATATAACCACTTAGATCTGGGAGTGATAAATAGTCTTTTAGGATCCTTCAAAACTTCAATTGTTATCTAAAGTGAAGTCTATTGAAATGTAAGGGAAGCTCCATTAGTAAGGTTAGGAAATTTTTGGAAGTGGACATATGGACCAACTCTCATTATAAAATTGATATTAAGTACCTTCAAGTGACTCTAAATTAAGATTACTCTTTTACACCATAAATCAACTAATCAAGATTAAAAAATCAAGATTATTTAAATTATTATCTTCATTTTGAGTACAACTATCAATTTGCATTGACTTGATCCAATGTTCTAATCAAGACCAATCCATAAATAGGACCAGATCGAACCTTTGAAAAGGTGGATTAAATAGGACTAAACTAGGCCTTAAGAAAAGTGGTTACACAAAATTTAAAGAAAATAAAAAGAAAGTTTTTTTTAGAATTAATTAATAATAATTTTATACAGAGATCACGAAAAGAAATTTAAATCTAATTTAAAAAAATTCTTTTGTATAAAAAATTCTTTGATTTGCAGCAAAGTTCTTTTTTTTTTTAAAAAAATTATATTTGTCAAATAATATTTAAACAGGTCGTTTGTTTCATATTACTTTTTTGTAGTTAATGTATTATTTAGTAACTTTAATATTTTTTTTATTCAAAGTTTGTTTGTAACACCTTGATTTTTCAGATCTAATAAAAATTATTTTAATTAGTCATTGGATTTTGAAAATAATTTAAATGATTATGAAATGAAAGGAAAATGTTTTAATATATAATTTAATATAAATTGTTTTATTATTTGTAAATGACTTTAATAATAAAATGTGAGGGAAGGATTTTGTAACTGGAGTTAAAAATGTTTAAGGGAAGTTATATGGGGTTAAGGGTTATTTTGAGAAGGTCAAAGGTTACATTTTATTTTTTGCACTTACGGCTCTTCATATCCCTATAAATTGAAGAATAGGAAGAGTAAAAGACAAAAGCATCATGAACACACCTTGAAGATCTTCATTTTTTATCAAGCATTCATTTAGGTAAGAGGGAGTGAGAGTTTTCTCTTTTGAGTGTGAATCATCTATATATATGGAGTGTTTGACCCCAACCCCGTTGTTTGTGATTTGTATTCTTTGGAGAATTTATAGTTTTGACTTGTATAATGAAAATTTGTGTTTTGTACGCTTCATGTGAACCTTATTTGAAATAATTGAGTTGTATATGTAATTAATTTCATGTGCATTGCTTTGATCATGAAATCTTTGAGTACTTGTGGTTTCAGTAGAATCCCTTGATTCATAAAGTAGTATGGAGATAGATGTTCTTGATGATATATGTAAATGATGCATAAAATAAGAGTACAATGTCATAAAAAGTGGTAAGAGTAAACATTCAATTTGGTCCCTAAAAAATGGTGGAAATGATCGATTGGTCCCTATAGATTTTTTGTGACATTTGGATCCATAAATTTAATTATGTTATTCAAGTTAGTCCTTCTATCATACTCAGTAACTAACTTTGTTAGTCTCATAATTAGTCAACAATTAATTATCACATTGACATATATTCTCTCTCTCAATTGACATGCAACAATTATAAATTAAGTAGATTTAGACACATGATAAAGTAAAATTTAATTTTTAATTAAATTTAAAATTAATTGAAGTGATGTTTGAATGGGTTATTTCTTCCCACCAACTCTCATTCTTATATTCCATTTCACCCTTGAAACTAATCTATGCAAGGCGCAAAACTCATTTCCACAAGACAAGGTTTTAAGACATTGTTGAAGAGGAACATCATCCAATAATTTGTTTTAGTCTTTGAAGTTGTTAACCATCTTTTGTGCTTAAACACCAAAGTTTTACATTTTTACTTTTGAGGCTGGTTTTTTGCAAGTGTTTGTGGTTACATGTTTGTGTTGAAGGTGTTACATGACTGGTTTATTCAGTGAAGTAATATAAAAATGTATAAAAATGGAAACTTTAAAGGTCTTTGTTTCTTGATAAAGGGAAAAGTAGTTGTTTTTGTTATTTTTTTTTGTGGTAAATTTTGTATTTGCTGTTTAGATTTGATTTTACAAGGATTAGGGTTTCATATTAGAAGTTGTGGTTAATGTATTTGTGCAAGATGGTGTTGAAGCTTACTTTCGTGCTCCACCATGGAGGAAGGTTTGTTAGGAATAAGGTTAGGTTGGGGAGCTTTGTGTTTGGGAAGGTTTGGGTGAACATTATATGAATACATGGATTCTAAAGGACTTGGCCATGCAAGGATTCTAATGAAGTTGGCGACATGTAATTTGTGTAGACTAGAAAAATAATGGAAGATGAGTTACACGCCATTGTTGACAACACTAACATTGTAGTTCTTGTGGATAATTGTGTAGCAAATCCTAGTAGGAAAGTTGATGTGTACTTTGGTCATAAACCCAACCCCACACCTAGAATTATTGAAAATCCACCTAATCCTAAATTGGACCATATACTTAAGGAGGAGAATGAGGAAGAACAAATTAAAAAAGATGTTGGGAATAGTGCTAATGTGGAAGGTGGTTTGGGGTGAATTTTGATGTTAAGGGGGAGGAAACCGATGTTGATGGGGAGGAAGAGTTTATTGATATAAACTTGTATGTGAGTGTTGAGAATAACCTATATAAACCATCCCCACCAGGTTGTGAGGATGATATTTCAGAGGATGAGGTTGAAGAATTGGTTCCTACAAGGAAAGGGGAAATCTATAGTGAGTGTTGCAACTTCTCTAGGGATGGGAAAGTCACTAGCACTACTAGATTTTCTCTTGAATAGGGTTCAAGGGTGAAACATTGTCCTGACAGGTTCTCATTTCTAGGCTAATTTAGAAAGTTCATCAAATGAAGATAATGTTCAACAAAATATGGTACAACCTACATTAGTTGAGGGAGAAACGAGTTAGAATCAACCACAAAGGACCCATCCTACTAGTTTGTAACCAACTGTTTAGATCTACTAATCATACTGAAACACAACTACAGTATGAGTTTGAGCGCTAAGATCACCAACAAGCTCAAATGAAGATTCCAATAAAGGGGAAAGACATGTGTTCTCAATTGAATGAAAATACACAATTTGGTGGCATTGAGCTGAAGGTTG